CGGGCCTATATTAGAGAATTTACGGTAAATTAAGAAATTATTTCAAATGCATATTATCTAATTATCTTATTTTTAAGAGAAAAAATACTCCTTCCATTGGCAAACTTTCTGATCTACTTCCTCAAATTAAGGGTAAATACAGTTAATTTAAGAAATGTTTACTTATTTCTAGATCATTTTTCCAGTGTATGAACACGGGACCCTCTCGGGTTCTGATTCCGGCATTGATTAGTACAGCTACCATGTTTTCCTTCCACTCAACTTTCTCTAAATATGCTAACACCACGTTCAGAACGCACGCAGCAGCTAAAACGCGCGTGCTGCTTCATTTTTGATGCTTGTACCAGTTTAGTTCTGCCTGCAGGTTTCTACATTTGAAGTTACTTTAGGCGATAATAAACTGTTTCAGAGATGATCAGAAATCACCAGGAATAAAAACCTAAAGACACTTTTCTTTCTGCAGGGAAGAAAATATGGAACCTTAGCTTGGAGCTAAATGAAAACGTCGAAGTAGCAGCGGCTGAGTAGAGGCGTCACATGTGACCTGAAAGGTGAGGAAACAGGTTCAGCCGACAGGCGGGTTACTCACCACCTGAGTGGGTCTGAGCGTTTCCCCATCGAAGCGCGTGAGGCTGAAGCCGTCCTCCGGGAAGCCGTCACAGTCCTCCAGCTCCTGGGAGTTACAGGGCGGCTTCTCCCCGTCAGCGCCTCCATTCTGGGCACAGAGGAGAAGAATCAGAGGCTGCGGCGCCGCCTGGTTAGCATTCATTAGCATCTAAAAGGCCTGATCTGCACAGGAGGAAGGAGCGGGTAAAGGATAAAATGTTTCTTTGTTAGGATGAGGAAGAGGAGAATAACCATGATGAAGGAGAATACGAGGTTACAGAGAAAGGAGGAGGAGCTTTGGAAGGATTTTAATACACTGCAAAAAACATCTAGAAATAACAGTATTTAATTAAGTATATTTACCCTTTATTTGAGCAGGTAAATAAGATGATTTTTAATGGAATTAGTATTTTTTACTCATAAAATAAGATAATTAGTTAATATGCACATGAAATAATAATTCAATTGTTTTTTTTCTTATTTTAAATGTAAATTTTCTTGTTCCACTGGCAAAGTGTCTCACTTAAGTCCTCAATTCAAGAAAAATGCACTTATTTAAATCTACTTTTTTTGCAGTGTATGATGAACAATATGAGCATCAGATGAATATCAGCAGCTTTTCCTCTACGGCTGCAACTACAGATTATTTAGCAAATCGATTTATCTGTCGGTGATTTTTTCCATTAATAATCAGATAAACGAAGATTCTTTAAAGAAGAATGTTTACGAAATCAAACCAGGTGAAACTCAAAGCTCTAGCTAGCAGTTAGCTGCTACCTCCTAGTTGTTAGCTGCTAGCTATCAGCTGCTAGTTGTTAGCTGCTAGCTGTTAGCTGCTAGCTGT